CCCTAACCCTAACCCTGTTCCTGGAGGTACTGCAATACCAGGTCAACTGCCCTGTAAGCTTCCTTCATGACTGTTGCGTTTTACAGTGCCAAAGGCCCTGCGCATTCTCTTAATTCTTACCAACAGTCCTACTCAGTTATAGTCCTGTGTTCTCTATTACTCACCCTCCAGGGAAAATAAGCCCACTGGTGCAATTGTGGCATAACTGTGCCGGATGAAGCTAAGTGCTTTCTTATGGGAGGGAATTAAGCTTTGGTACTGTTAGCCAGGCACAGATCTGTGGCTGGAGTTTTCAGCCTTCTCAGAAGAAAAGACATCCCCCTTCCCCTAAAGGCTATTGCAGTCATAATAGATCAAGCTTTGCAAGGAATTGCTGATGTGGCACAGCGGCCCAGGCTCAGTGGTACCCGGCAAGGGGGGCGGTTCACACATCCATATCATCACACAGTACGGCAGAAAGAGTCTAAGCGTCAGAGGAAGGCATGGAGTGTTAATATAAGAGGGGGGTCTCCTAAGACTAGAAGTTCATGAAACTTACAAGACCCAGGAGTCAAAGGAAGTTCTGTGTCACAAGCCTCTAGACTGTCCTGTGAGCCTTTAGTAACCGCTGCAGGAAAGGGGAATGTTCTACAGAGACGCCCGCTCAGTAGGCAGGAAGATCAGGGATGTGGCCTTCACCAGTCGTCCAGGGGGACTGGGGGCCATCTGGTGACACAGCTTGCTTCAAGTCGTTTGTACAGTCAACTATAAGCCTGTAACTCACTCCTGCTCCTTGGCTCCCCAAAAAGCCACAGGCAGGACACAACCTTTTCTTCCATTTTCTGACAAATGATGGACCTCCTTTGTTTGAGACAGGGTCTGACTGTGTATCCCTGGCTGGCCTGGCACTCACTGTGTAGCTTTGAACACTACGCTGGACTTGAACTCAGAGATACGCCTACTTTTTTTTTTTAAACTTTTGCTTCTTGAGTGCTTGAATTAGAGGTGTGTGTTATCACACGCACAGCTGAATTTACTTTCTTTTTCTTTTTTGAAACAGGGTTCCTCTGTGTAGCCCCATCCGTCTTGGAACTCGCTCTGTAGACCAGGCTGGCCTTGAACTCAAGGAGATCCACCTGCCTATGCCTCCCACGTGCTGAGAGAGATTAAAGGCGTGCACCGCCACCGCCACCGCCACCCAGCTTGGATTTACTTTCTTACAGCTGCCTCTCCAGAAGCAAGCCCTTTTCCCACGTGTACTTCTGTCTCCTTCTAGGGAGAGGGTGTCCTCTGTCCGTAAGCCCCAAGCTGTCAGAAAACTCATGGTTTCCATGTCTCTACCTCCCAAATGCTGGCTTTCATGGTTTCTGGCTTCCATCCCTACTTCCTCGAGTCCTGTTCCTTCCTCAATCTACACTGATTTATCCCCCCAAAAGGCTGAAGTTTACCAAATGGAAACAGGTGTTTCTCAACTCTGGTCATGCCTTACCTGGCCGTGTTCGTCACTCCTCCCTGTTAAAACTCTACCTCCCAAGTTTCGGCAACCTGGCTTTCTCCCCTCTGCCCATCCCTTCTGAATCTTTCACTAACCTCTTTATTTTATTTTTTAGATCTATCTTCACTATTTTTTAATTGTGTGTGCACATGCGTGAACATGAGCGTGTGGGTACCTACAGAAGCCAGAGGCATCAGATCTTTCTGAGGCTTGATTTGGGTGCTGGGAACCGAACTTGTGTCCTCTGGATGAGCAGTACATGTTCTTAACCACCGATTAGCTATGCAGTCTCACTAGCCGGTTTTTTGTTTGTTTTAGCCTAGACTGGTCTTGAGGTTGAGAGCTGCCTGCCCCAGGCTCAAAAGCGCTGGGATCACAAGTGTTCTATACCATTCCTAGCCACACCAGCCTCTTTTTATTTCATGTGCTTGAATGTTTAGCCTGCATGTATGTATGCGTGCCACACGTGTGTCTGGTGCCTGAAGAACTCAGAAAAGGACATCAGATGCTGAGGGGAGCAGACGAGGTCCAGGCACAACCATGCCAAGGACTCCAATACCTCAGGCTCCTTGAAATGGCAAAGCCTTGCCTGGGTGAGGCTCAAAAGCATGAGAGAGCCTTCCTTTGTTTGGTCTAAGTACAAACGTTTACAACTTACCGACCAAGGTGTGCAAAAACTAGCAGCTGCAGCTTCCTCCTCCTGGGACTGGCTGACCCCTGCCCTTTCCTTCCGCTGCACATAGTATTTCGGAGCTGTCTCCATCACAGCGTACCTGATCCTAGCTTCCTTTGCGTTCCTGTTATTAGAGTTCAGGTGCCTGTACTGCCCAGTAAGAGCACCACCTGTGCACATTCACGATGTTTCCTTTCAAAAGGGCCCTGCCGCCTCCGTCCTCCCTCCCTCCCTCCCTCCCTCCCTCCCCCCCCCTCTCTCTCTCTCTCTCTCTCTCTCTCTCTCTCTCTCTCTCTCACACACACACACACACACACACACACACACACATCTCTCCCACTGCTCCTGTCTGCAGAAGTAGGTCAGCTGGTTTCCCCTCCCCCTCCCCCTTTTATGATCCTTTCCCCCTAACCAGAAACCCTCCGCTTGAACCCTGTGGTGTCACATGGCGTCTTTCTTTCCTGTGCCGCTTTTTTGAAAATTATAACACCTGTTCTGCGTTGTCTGTCATTTTTTCATTCCCAGGTTTCCAGGGCCAAGCTGTTCAGGACGAGGCAGGAGTCCCTGTCAACCGGGGTTACAGATGGCTGCGAGCCCGCTGTGTGGATGCCAGGAACTGAACCTGGGTCCTCGGGAAGAGCAGTCAGTGCTCTCAACTGCCAAGCCATCTCTCCAGCCCCATTTTAACTTAACAGTCACATGTATTGTGTATGTGTCCATGCGCGTGTGGGTAGACACACGCCTGTGGAGGTCAGAAGGCACCTGTGGAAGTTGGTTCTTTCATCATGGGGGTTTTGGCTGGAGAACGTGGGTAGCCAGGCTCGGTGGCAAGGGCCTCTACCCACAGAAGCACCTCACCACTCTTCATCGGCCTCCTAAATGATGCTTGTCCCCGTGTTCTGCTCTAGGATCCAGGCATTACGCTGGCGGCCCTGAGGCAGTGCCCTGGTCGGCCCAGGTGCAGAGGACCCCGCCCACTTATGACCTCTTCCGCTTTCCACTCTTTCCTCTTTCCCCCAGGTTCCCCGGGGGCAGCGACTTTTCCTGTCCCCCTCTTCTGCTCTCTGTCTCTGTGTCTCTTTCCTTCTCCCTCCCCTTCCCTTTCTAATAAAGCTCTGTCTGCCTGGCGTGTTTGTCCCCCGCCTCAGTCACCCTCACCTGCCATGGAATCCTCCATGGTCCCGCACCCAAGGTCCCCACGAGCTTTATCCTAACACCGAGAACCGAGGAACGTCCATCGTGACCACAGATTCCACAATAATCCTCAAGCCTGTACCCCAGTCCAGATTACTCCGCGACACTTTGGGCCCCTATGGCCAGTCGCAATCTTTTTTCCCACAACCTCTGTCAGTGTAGCCACAGCCTGGGACTCTCCTTCCCTCAACTCTCACACTCCCACTGAATTTTCCCGATTGACCTTGAGCTATGTTTATTTTATTCCTGTGTCTCTTTATTCACTGTGGAGCTGGGGACTGAACCCGGGTCTTGCACATGCTAGGCAAACCCTGTAGCACTGAGCAACACTTCCGGCCCCAACTTGTGCATCTGCAGATGCCATTCCCTCCTCGCTGTTTTAGTCCACCATCAATACACGGATTTTTGCAACATTCATTGTCCACCGGAAGGTCCACGTCACCCTAATATACACACTAACAGTGCAAAGGGTCTTCACTGCCCACCTCCCGTCTCTAACCTTGCGTCTGCACCTGTCATGGAGTCACCCCACAAACTACATTGTTTTTGGTCGTCATCTTTGTGTTCTGTTCTCTGCCTGGGAAGCTGTTTTGTTTTTCGAGACAGGGTTTCTCTGTGTAACAGTTCTGGCTGTCCTGGAACTCACTGTATACACCAGGTTGGCCTTGAACTCACTGATATCTGAGTGCTGGGATTAAAAGTGTGGGCTACCATCCAGCTGGAGCTTTGCTTTCTATGCCTAGATCCTCTTGGAAGGTTCCTGGCCAATTACATGTCCCTTCCTTGTGATTAGTACTGCCCAGCATAGTTTTATCACCGTCCCTAGCTTTTAACACTTAAACACTGCAACCTTTTCCTGGCTAGTCCGTGAATTTAAAGTTTTCGTTCCTGTAGGGTGGACTTTTCCTCTGCTTCAATCAGAGCATCGGCCTGAAGAACAGTAGTGGGTTCTCAAGTTAAGTTCTCAGTAAATACTTTTCCAAGAGACGAATTAATGAACAAATGAAGACACTTCAGATTTCCAGGAAACGAAGAAATGACTCAGCGGTTAAGAGCACTGGCTGTTCCTCCAGAGGGCCAGGTTCAATTCCCGGCGCCCACACGGTGGCCCCCAATCATCCACAACTCCAGTTCTAGGGGATCCGATGCCCTCCTCTGGCCTTAGGAGCACTGAACCTACATCGCGCCAGCCGAACACTTACATATATAAAACGACTTTAAAATACATATTCAGATTCGCCATGCCCATTCTTTTGCAACCCCAACTTCATGGAGGATCGACCCACACCTCCGTGATACCCACCCTTCGTATGAGGATGAGACAGGGGGACAGCAAGTTTGGAGCCAACGTGCACAAGGCAGAGGAGACCCCCCCTCCCCGTCTCACAAAGAGAGCGCTGTCCCAGGACAGAACCGGAAAGGGAAGGAGCGGCGCCCCGCACAGCGCACAGCGCCGGGGAGGGCCCGCGACACCCCGCATCTCAGGTGACTGACAGCCCAGCGCGGGCCGGGGGGCGGAGCCCCAGCGCCGCCGGCCCCGCCCCGCCCCGCCGGCCCCGCCCCGCCCCGCCGGCCCCGCCCCGCGCGCGCGCCCGCGGGCCAGCCTCCGGTCACGTGACGCCGGCGCAGGTGAGCAGCGCTTCCGGGTCGGGCTCGGGAGTCGCGGCCGGCTCCCGCTCCCACTCGCTCGGGTGCGCGGGAGACTATGGCGTCCTCCTCCGTCCCTCCCGCCACCGCGCCCGCGGCAGCCGGAGGCCCCGGCCCGGGGTTCGGCTTCGCCTCCAAAACCAAGAAGAAGCATTTCGTGCAGCAGAAAGTGAAGGTGTTCCGGGCCGCCGACCCGCTGGTGGGCGTGTTCCTGTGGGGTGTCGCCCACTCGGTAAGAGCGGGCCCCGGCTCCAGCGCCCCGAGCTCCGCGCGCCGCGGCCCCGGCCCGGCCCCGGCGGACTCTTGTGCTCCCTCTGTCCTTTACTAGAGTCCCCTCGTCTCCACCTGAAATCCAGCTCCGTCCTTTGCACTCCTTCCTGCCGGGTCCACCCTCCGGCTCCAGGCACTGGCCAGAATCCGGCTCCAGCCTGAGGGACACCAAGGGGAGTGGCTCGAAAGGGGTGTTGGTGAGGTCCGGCGGCCAGCCACAGTGCGGGGAGCGTTCGAGCCTCGGGTTGTGTCTGGGGAATAGGTCCAGGCTTTTTTGGATCTTCTGACCCTGCTTGTCTCCCCCAGATGCAGCATTTCAGGGAAGCTACCCAACTCTGACCCTAGGGGACCGAATGCGTTTGGTCTTTGGAGTGATGGTGTTTGGTGTAAATGGAGAAAATTGTAACCGAGGAAAAGGCTGATGAGCAGTGGTCCCAGGGACCTTATTTGTGATCTTTAGAAGCCGGAAAAGGGCTCCGAAGGAGGAGGCCCATGAGCCCAGTATACCTCCTTTCCTGAGGGTATCTTGGAGGAGCTGGGTTCTCCTTCAGGTCGGGAGTAGGAGGGTTGCGGTGATCGTCAGCTTGATGGGGACTATTTTGGTTATCGACTTTTTTGAGTGTTAGTCCTGCTGTGGTTGTGGAGGTGTAAGGGGGCGAAGAAGAATGTAGCGCTTTTAATTTGGAACATCACTGGTGATCGGTTAGCTAGCTCGCTTTTGCGTTTGTTGTGGTCTCTTTAGTATTGCATTTGAGGCACCTGTCGTGGAGGTAGGTAGGATGCTTCACTAGAGATACCTTCCAGGGGAGGGTTTTCCTTGGGTAAGATTTGGCGGAGTTACCTATAAGACCCACCTCAAGCTCTTTAGGTAAAACAGTTTAGCTTCAACGCCCCACTTCTCAGCCAGCACACATGGACCTCAAGTGTGTAGAACGGAGAAATTCCTTGAACATATGCCTTGGTGATGATTCAGCCTGCTTAGCAGGTGGCGAGGAGGAGCCAGGAAGAGCTACTGCTGACTTTAGGCTGGGAATCTCAAGTGTCCTTTCTTTTCTTTCTGGGGGAATATGTTCCATCCTCCCTTCTCCTGAGGACAAGAGCAGTTGTATGCACCTCGGCATGCTGGATTTAGGTTAGACCGTGGCCTTTGTTTAATAATAATGATCAGACGAGGCATCCATCTAATAAATAGTTGGGGAGCACTGCGTGTTAGACACTGTGCTAAGAGGGTGCTAGAGTGGGCCCTTACCCTTGGAGAGCTCAAAGCTAGGGGGAGGGACTTAATATAAGCTGGGGATTAGTGTCGCATGGCAGATGCACTATTAGAGGCAGGGGGTGCATAGCAACACCAGGAAGAAGGAATGAATAGATTTGCACCCTGAATTAGTGGGCTGCAGGTCTTGGGGACCATGGAGAGGGTATAGTGCCCAGGTCCCTCCTGTTGTTGGTTGACTTGCACTGAGGGAACAGATTATATGAGGAGGTGTTAGTTTCCTCAGAAATCAGCTGTTCTTCCTTGACTTTCCGCCCAGATCTGGGTCAGAGTGATCTGGAATTGTCCTCTTTGTAAGGAGTTACTCGGGGTATATGGACATTTCATTCCCTTTTTGACTCCCCCAGAGTCCCATTAACTCTCTGAACTTCAAAAATGCCATTTCTTTCCCCTAACGAAGCATGTAACTGTCTTGGGTTTTTTTGGCTTGTTTGCTTTTTTTTCTTCCTAATTTTTCTTTCTGGATTCCTCACAGCTTTAAAAATAGCCCCAGTTGCTTGCAGGGCTTGCCAGATATAAAGAGGCTGTTGTGGGCATGCGACTCCATGGGTGGGAGTGTGAGGAGCCGTGTGAGGGTGGCTGACACTGGCTCTTGGGCAGCAGAAGGAGCGGGTGCGTGTCTCTCTCCTTGCCCACAGCGACGTTAGGACATGCGGGCGGAGTTGCTCTTTGTGGGCTCCGGCCTGTATTCAGTGCCTCACAGCCTACCTCCCTGTGCCTTGGTTCCTCAGATCAATGAGCTTAGCCAGGTGCCGCCTCCAGTGATGCTCCTGCCAGATGACTTTAAGGCTAGCTCCAAGATCAAGGTCAACAATCACCTCTTCCACAGGTAAGCGGTCTTCACCCTTCTCAGGGAAATCTAGAAAAGGAGCTGCAAGGCATGGTGGAGGAAGGCTTAATGGGATGGTGTGGGTAAGGAATTCAGGGTCCTCAACTGACTCTCACAGGATGTCCTCTGACCTCCAAATGAGCTTTTTGTGGCACCCACATACCCACACTCACACAAACTAAACATTTAAAGAAACAAAAATAAACAGGGCCCAGACCTGGTGGAGCATACCTTTTAATCTCAGCACTCAGGAGAAAGAGGCAGGGGGATCTCTGTGAGTCCAGCCAGGGCAACACAGTGAGACCCTCTCAAGAGAAAGAGAGAGGACAACGAAAGTTTTAAAATGTTAAATGAGTTGAAGGTTTTAGGTTTAGAAGTCAATTTACAAGTTTTATGGTCTCATATCTGTTCTGAAGCAAAAATTGAGATTTTTGAAAAAACATAACACAATATCTAAGGGCTAACAGATGCCTTGGCAGGTAAGGGCTCATGTTACCAAGCCAGACAACTTGAATTCAGTCTCTCGGACGCACATGGTGGGAGGAGACAACCTGTTCCTGGAAGTTGTCTTCTGACCCCCATGCACATGCCTTGGTGTGTGCTCTCCCTCTCTCCCTCTCCCTCCCTCCTTCCCTCCCTCCCTCCCTCTCTCTCTTGCTTTCTCTCTCTTACACATACAGAATAAATAAATAGCTGCAGGAGGCACATTTTCCCAGCACTGGGAAGCAGAGGCAGGCAGATCTCAGTGAGTTCCAGGCCAGCCTGGTCTACATTCTGGCTGCAGGATCACCAGGGCTGCTTAGAGTGAGTTTGTCTGAGAAATAACCAATAGGTAAATTAATTAATTTTAAATCTTTAACATGTAAACATTTCAAGAGTTGCCTTCATTCTTCTATATACAGCCTGTTATCTTCTGGTCTGTTTCATCAAATAAATACACTAGGATTCAGGTACCTCTATCATTACCTTCTGGTGGGGATTCCTGAAGAAAAAAATTGTGGCCTCTAATCCCCTTTAGTACAAGATGATGCCATTTAAACTATCAGTAAATACTGCCAATTTTAGGATATTTCTACTGAGCTTGAGATTTAAGAAATGCCGCTGTTTAGATGCACGCTAAGCCCCTGCTTTACTTAAACCATTTCCAGCCATGTGACCTGACTTAGGCAGGTCACTGGGTCACTCTGAGCCAGCCTACTTTTCTCTAAAGTGGTAACGGTAAGTCTTTTAAAGTACTTCCGAGGAGCCAGCGAGAGGATGAGGCAGGAGCATTAGGATTCAAGGCCAGCCTTTGCTGCCGAGCTGAAAAACAAAAAAAAATCCACTAAAACAACAAATAATGGGGGGATGGGAAGACAGCTCACGGCAGAGAGCGCATGTGCAGCGGGCACTGAGGCTGCAGGCACTGAGGCGGGGACCCACAGCCCCCTCACGGGACCCACAGCCCCCTCACGGGACCCACAGCCCCCTCACGGGACCCACAGCCCCCTCACGGGACCCACAGCCCCCTCAGGAAAATGCTGGCCTGGCTGTGTTGCTGTCTGCCCAGCACTGGAGAAGGCAGAGGGAAATGGGTGCTGGGAACTTGCCGGCCAGACAGCCTACAGGAAATGGTATCTAGCCGGGTGATGGTGGCCCTCGCCTCTAATCCCAGCACTAGGGAGGCAGAGGCAGGCACATCTCTGTGAGTTTGAGGTCTACAGAGCGAGTTCCAGGACAGCCAGGGCCCTTACACAGGGAAACCCTGTCTCAACTCTGCCCCCGCCCCCCCCACACACACACACACAAAAGATGTTGGGCTTTGGGTTCAGTTTCAAATCGATAAGGTGGGGGAGGGGCAATAGAGGAAGACACTGGACTCCACCCTCTGGCCTCCATACACGCACACACATGAGCACACACTCCACCCCAATAAAGGCAACAACTAACTAAATACTTGTCAGGGTTTTGTGAGAATTATACCAGGCAATAGTGTGATGATTAAAAACCTGTGTTTCAGAGAAAATCTTCCCAGTCATTTCAAGTTCAAGGAATACTGTCCCCAGGTCTTCAGGAACCTCCGAGATCGATTCGGCATTGACGACCAGGATTACTTGGTGAGAGGCTGTTGTGGAGTGAGGGTAGTCCCTGGCAGCTAGAAGGCCTGTTGGACAGTTACATTCAGAAAACCGAGAGCTTTGGTTAATGCTGTGTGTGTGTGTGTGTGTGTGTGTGTGTGTGCGTGCGCGTGTGCGCGCGCGCATTCGTGGGCATATGTATGTATGTGCGTGTGCATGTGTGTATGTGCATGCGTGATCAATGTCATCTTTGAAAATGTAATGAGACTAATCAAGCTATTCTGGGGGAGGCAGGAGATATATAATACACACACACACACATGCGCGCGCGCTTAGAGTTTTACATTCTGTTTCATTCAGTCGTGTGGTTATCACATTAGGACCCCCTCTTGAATCTCTGACCCCAGGATTTACTCATTGTGGCTGTGGGTGACTTTAGTGAATGTGCGTGTGTGGGGATTAGAGGAAACCTTTCTTGAATTGATTTTCTTCTTCCACGGTGTGGGGCCCAGGGATTTAACTCAGGCCATCGAGTCACACACCTTTCCCACCAAGGCATCTCAACAGCCTCTATCACAGAGTTCCACTCACTTTGGAAGCAGTTGTTTGGCCATTGTCGTCCTATCGTCATGTGGCACGGGAAGTCCATGTGCTCATGCACGCACCTTCTTTGTCTCCAGGTGTCCCTTACTCGAAGTCCCCCAAGCGAAACTGAAGGCAGCGATGGTCGGTTTCTCATCTCCTATGATCGCACTCTTGTTATCAAAGAGGTGTCCAGTGAGGACATCGCTGACATGCATAGCAACCTCTCCAACTACCACCAGGTCAGGCCTCTCCAGCCCGTGTGTCCTCCACCCTACCCGTGTGAGCGCACAGACCGAGGTCTCCTGTTCTTTCTCTCCGTTATCCATCCCTGTCTCTCCCCCAGAAGCACAAAGGGGCTCCGCATGCCTATTGTGTTTGATTTAGTAGGAAAATGTCATTCGACTCTTCCCATTCGGCACCCAACCCTGAAAACCAGTTTGGCCTCCTTCCTTCCACCTCCTGGGTTCCAGGGCCCAAACTCATGTAGTCATGCTTGTTGGAAGTGCTTGTACCCACTGAGCTACCTCACCAGCCCCAGGGGTTGACTTTCTTTCCCAGTTTATTATTATGTTCATGTCTGTTTTACCTGCATGCATGTTGAGGCACAGTGTATGTACCTGGTGCCCTCAAGAGACCGGAAGAGGGTCTCAGATACCCTGGGAATGTAGTGTTAGGCAGTTGTGTGCTGCCACACAAGTTTTGGGAATTAAACCAGGCCCTCTGCAAGAGCAGCCAAAGTGCTTAACTGTTGAAGCATTGCCCTAGTACCTGGTATTTTTTAATAAAATTTTTATTTTAAGCTGGGTGTGGCGGCGGAGGCAGAGGCAGAGGCAGTTGGATCTGTGAGTTTGAAGCCAGCCTGTTCTACAGAGTGAGTTCCAAGACAGCCAGGGCTACAAGGAGAAACCCTTTCTCAATAAACCGAAATATATATGTATTTTACATTTGTTTATTTACGGGGGCACACACATGCTACACTGGGCATGTGGAGGTCAGATAGCTCCAGGGAGTTGGTTTTTTTCCCATTTGTCATCTGGAGATCCAGGGATTGACTTCAAGCAGGCAGGCGTAGACAAAAGCACTTGTAGCCACAGAGCCATGTTGCCAACCCCAGAGCTGGTTTTTGAGTGGTTAGAGTGGAGGTTACTCATTGGACAGGTGGCAGAGAGCATTCTAGGCAAATACACAGAACCATGAAAGTGTTAGGTGCTGGAGGTTGCAAGAATCCTAGTGTGGCTGGGATGTGTGATATTAGGAAAAGTAAGCTGGAGCCAAATTCGAAAAAGGCCTGTAAGTGACGGAGAAATCCAGGCTTTATCCTGAGGTAGCTTTCAGGGGACTGGTAAGCAGGCTGTTCAGAAGGAAGGGATGGACGTACGGTTCACACCTAGCACATGTGAGGGCCTGCCTTCTGTCCTCGGCACCATAATCAGAAGAGAGAAGAGACGTGCAGAAAGTCCCCGTGACAGCATGTAGGAACTAGTGGTGTGCGTGAGAGAGAGGAGAGAGCGCGGTGGACATGAAGGACCTGTGAGGACACCCAAGTCAAGGCAAGGGGGCCTCGAGCGCTGGGCACCGCTGTCCACAGCTGGGAAAACAGAGCAAGGTCCCTGGAAGAAGAGAGTGTGGATGTGAACACGTCTTCTGCAGTTCACCCCTCTCTTAGGTGTCCATGAGTGTCATTTTAAGGGTCTGCATCACTAAGTGCTCATTAAAGCCATCTTCTGCCACTTAAAAATCAGACACACACACAAAAATAAAACCTTTCGTAAAAACACAAATTTTAGCCAGGTGGTGGCGGCACATGCCTTTAGTCCCAGCACGCAGGAGGCAGAGGCAGGCGATCTTTGTGAGTTCAAGGCCAGCCTGGTCTACAGAGCAAGTTCCAGGACAGCCTGGGCTACACAGTGAAACCCTGTCTTAAAAACCGAGAAGGGGGGGGGATGGATAGATAGGTAGGTAGGTAGGAGGTAAGGAAGGAGGGAGGGAGGGGTATAGATAGGTAGATAGATGATAGATAGGTGATAGACAGACAGACAAGTAGAGTGCCCCAGGAGACTCAGTGTGGACTGGCAGTTTGGATTATTAATTCCCCGAGAGCATCCATGAAGGATGAGGGGCGGGGACACCAGAGGCTGGGTGAAAGGAGACACCGTTGGAAGGAAGGGTCAAGCGCAGTTGACACAATCCAGTGACTACATACCCCACTGGATTTGACAACTGAGGAGTTGGTTGAAATCAGATTTCAGTGATTTAGGACATTTCCATGAATGAGGGCTTATTTATTACTTTTATTTATTTTTTGGTAAAAATAATGTGTACAGGTGTTTTGCTTGCATGTATATCTATGCACCACGTGTGTGCCTGGTGCCCTTGGAGGCCAGAATAGTATATCAGATCACCAGGAACTGCAGTTGCAGGGACGGCAATCTGCCATGTAGGTGCTGGGAATTGAACCTGGGTCCTCTTGAAGAGCCATCTCTCCACTCCAAGTTTTTCAGGTCACCTTTACTTGACATCTGACGTGACTTAGAAACAAAATGATGATGGGCTAGAGATGTCTCAGTGGGGAAGAACTCTTCCTGTTCACCCAGAGGACCTGGGTTCCAGTAATGCCAAGTGGCTCACAGCCATCTGTAACTCTAGTTCCAAGTGATGCTCTGGCCTCCTGGGGCGTTCACACAGACACATAAATAAAAAGTAAGGCATATAGTGGTACCTGCCTTTAATCTCAGCATCTTTGAGTTCAAGGCAGAGCGAGTTTCAGGACAGCCAGGGGTATGCAGAAAAACCTTATTTAATAATAATAATGATGATAATAATAATAATAATAATAATAATAATAATACATCTTTATTTTAAAAAACAAAACAATCCAAATTAATTGTAGGTCTCCTTGTAGACATTTATACTACAGGACTCTAACCCATAAAGAAACAATCATTTCATTGATAAGTAACTAAATTTAATCCTGGTTCTGTGACTTTGTTTGTACAAAGCCTAAAATAAGAGTAACAATATGTACCTTCCTCATCTTGAAAAGTGGTAAAGGTAGCCAGGCAGAGTGGCTCATTCTTACAATCCTAACGTTTAGAAGCTAGAGTCAGATCGGGAATTGGAGGCCCACCCTAGCCCTGTGAGTCTCAGGGTCAAACAAAGGAGGACAAGGATGAAGTGAGAAAAGGTACTTTAAGACTGAGAGATTGGGAAGCTGGTGACCAAGAACAGTTCCAGGGACCTGCCTTCACTTGGCTTTGCATCCTCTGTGCTGGAGGTTCCTGCCGGACTCCAGAGTAGCTGTGCTTGGATTGCTGTTCCTGGGCTGTTTGTGTACCCTGTGTCCCTTTCCTTATTTCTTCCTCTCATTTTCTTCCCTAGTACATAGTGAAGTGTCATGGCAACACACTTCTGCCCCAGTTCCTGGGCATGTACCGAGTCAGTGTGGAAAATGAAGACAGTTACATGCTTGTCATGCGAAACATGTTTAGTCACCGTCTCCCTGTGCATAGGAAGTACGACCTCAAGGTAAGAGCAGGGACCTGGTGAGGCTTGGAAGGGCACTGGTGACTGCAGTTAAAGGAGAGACTGTTCTTCTTAGGAACTGGGCTTGGGCCTCTACCGGTCATTTCTTCTGACTTAGTGTTTGGTCTTCACAGGGCTCTCTAGTGTCCCGGGAAGCCAGTGATAAGGAAAAGGTAATGCTCCTTTTTGGTGATGCTGTGAGGGAATAGGGTAGGTCGGAGGGATTTGTATGGATAAAGCAGCAGCTCTCCATAATGGATACAGATGGCAGCTGCTCGTTCTTACCTTAAACTACTAGAAAGAAAAGGGGTTTAAAAAGACAAAACAAAACTACTGGTCTGGGGTAGCAGCAGGGCTGGCTGTTAGCATTATTGTTAGCACTGGTTATTCTGAGTTGAAGGTTTGGGGAGGTGGGGATGCCCAGGGTGAAGAGAAGAGCGCTTGTTTTCCATACCACATTCTGAGCTCTTGTATTCAAGTAGCTGCTTTCCCCGAGGGAGAAGAAAGAAAAGTCAGTATGGAGGGTGTTGACTGCAGTCCATAAGCAGATAGTGGTGGGTGTCATTTGAGATGCAACTGACAAGTCCAGGCCCAAAGCATCCACAAGACTGCTGCTCTGTTCAAAGCCTCTGGGGTAGAGAGAGCCCTGGGCGGAGGCAGGGCTGTCTGAGGCCTTGGGTAAGGGTGATTGTCCAGGTGCTCTTTTCCCAACCCTAGGTTAAGGAGCTGCCTACGCTTAAGGATATGGACTTCCTCAACAAGAACCAGAAAGTGTACATTGGTGACGAGGAGAAGAAAGTGTTTCTGGAGAAGCTGAAACGAGATGTGGAGGTAGTGATTGAGGTGCCCTGGGTGCCGTGTGTACTTGAAGAAGAAATGTCTGTTTTGTCTTTATTTAAGCAGTAGTGTTTGCTTTTTACCTTCCATTTGTGGTACAAGATTTTTCTTGCCTTCATTTTTGGGGTTTGCAGAGTAGAAGGTTGGGGGTCAAACAGAAGAAACTCCTAGGCCCGTTGGTGGGGTAAGGAGTGGAATGGGCGCTGACTAGGAGGGGCCAGGGTTGCTGTCAGACCCCTGGTAGTGCCTGACCTCAGCCTGTATGCCCCTTTCCCCAAGAGGGCCCAGAAACTCGAGGAAGGAGGCATATGGGTGGAAGCTGGAGCTGGGTGGGAGCCCGGGGGTCTCTGATTTGTCAGTGGGTCTCAGTTCCTAGTGCAGCTGAAGATCATGGACTACAGCCTTCTGCTGGGTATCCACGACATCATCCGGGGCTCTGAGCCGGAGGAAGAGGGGCCCGTGCGGGAGGACGAGTCAGAGTGGGACGGGGACTGTAACCTGGCCGGACCCCCTGCTCTGGTGGGCTCCTATGGCACCTCCCCTGAGGGCATTGGAGGCTACATTCATTCCCACCGGCCGCTGGGCCCAGGAGAGTTTGAGTCCTTCATCGACGTCTATGCCATCCGGAGTGCTGAGGGTAAGAGAGAGGCGGGAGACATTAAGGGCAATGGTAAGGGTGGTGGTGGACACCCTTGGGGACAAGAGACCAGGGTGGTGGAGTAGTTTGTCACAAACGGGGGAGGAATTGGGACTGTATGTACCCTGTCCTCATTGTTAGTGTCTCTCCCCAGGGGCCCCCCAGAAGGAGGTGTATTTCATGGGCCTCATTGACATCCTAACACAGTATGATGCCAAGAAGAAGGCAGCTCATGCAGCCAAAACTGTCAAGCACGGGGTGAGAGTCCCCAGTCCTTCCTTTCTTGGCCTGGCCCTCTTGGAAAGAGAGCAGCTGGGTGGCTGAGGGAAGGTGCTAGGTCTCCTCACGCATTGTCCCATGTCCCTTCTCACAGGCAGGAGCGGAGATCTCAACTGTCCACCCAGAGCAGTATGCTAAGCGATTCCTGGATTTCATTGCCAACATCTTTGCCTAAGAGCCTGCCTGGCTCCACGGTGACTGCTGCTCTACGTTGAAGGTGGTGGGTTCTGAGAGTCTTAGGGGAACTGGATTTTTCCACTACTTCTCTTCCTTGCTAAATTCAGGCTGCAGGCTCCTTCCAACCCAATCATTCCATCTTGGTGGATAGGCTTTTCCTGCCCGAGAAGCACGCTGTCCTTTCTCCCCGCGTCCGTTTTGCTGCCCGCTCTCCCCACTCCCAGGAAGCCCTCTTGCTTCATTAGAGTGCTGTTGTTGACTCCTAAGTGCCTTGATCTTTGAAAAATACCTTGTTTCTATGAAATAGGAGGAGCTGGGGGTAGGGGTTGTTTGCCGTCTTCGGGACCTGACAGGACAGTGGACGTGCCTCAAGCAGCCACCCCGATGCACTTTCCTGTGTGGGAGAGACTGAATGCCTGGGTCTCGCTGACGCCTGTGTACGCTGATGCCTGTGTAGGGCTCTTGTGGCGATGCTTTCTTCCTGCAGGCCCTGGGATGGAGGGTTCTCAGGAGACTGCAAGTGTGGGTCCTGCAAGTGTGGGTGCAGGCATTCACGCGTGGACAGTCAGCAGGCTGGCACCTCACAGGCAGGACCCAAGCGGACTTTTGTGACTATGCAGAGAATGGAGAAAGGTCCCTGTCAACCATTGACTACTATCCATTCTCTTCCCCCATTCCACCCCGCTTTGATCTGTAGCCATGAGTACTTCTGGATCAGGAACCCAGACACGGCCGGGCCAGAGCTGTCCGAGCCGAGCCTAGGGCCAGGTGTGAGGCCTCTGCTGCTGCACCTGCCCAGAGCCTTGCACCTTTGCTGGGGTGCACCCTTCCGCGAGGGGATAGAGCGGTGGAGCCTGGGAGGACAGGTCAGGGTACCAGGTTCAGTCCCTATGTGACATTCCTTTCTTCCTGTCCAGTAAATCCCAAGGTCCCTTTGTAGCCAAGGGAACAGCTCCATGTGACTCGGTTTCCATAATTTCAAGAGGACAGAGATCTTGAGTGTGGGAACCTCCCCATCCCCTGGACATAAGTACCCAGCACACATCCTCCCTCTTCGCAGACACTTTTTCTAGTTGGGTTTGTTATTCTGTTCCCTTCTGTCCCATCTCTCACTGCTAATGTGTCTCCCGGGGGACAGATGGCCGCCTTTGTCATCTTCCCACCCCCAGAGAGGAGTCAGAGCCATAACTCCATCACCCGGCCCCTTCCAAAGATAGTTGAGTTAGTGTGTGACACCCTCAGAATGTAGAGGAGCTTACACAGCAGCTAATGCCTGTAAAAACCCAGCACTCAAGGAGGCCGCAGCAGAGTCAGTGAGGGTCCAAGGCTCGCTTGAACAGCCTGTGCTACAGAGTAAGACATGGTCTCAGGAAAACTCAAAAAGAGGTATGGGCTTGAGCCCTGGAGATTATAACTCAGTCGGTAGAGTGCTTGCCTAGCATGTACAAAGCTCTGGGTTCCATCCCCAGCACCATGTAAACCAGGTGTGGTGGTGCACACCTATAATTTTAGCACTTGGGAAAGGAAGGCAGGGAGGATCAGGTATTCAGGGTCGCCCTCAGTTACATAGCAAGTTTGAGGCCAGCCAAGGATAGATGCTGGAGACTGTCTGGGAAAACAAGATTCTGCAATGAGATAGATTGTCTTGTCTCTGCCCAGAGCCTTTGGCATGGTTGCTGTTCTGTTCACCTTTAGGCCTCCACGCCCTGGGGATGGGGAGTGGGCAGTAAGGGCACAAAGCCGCTTTGCTGTGTGACTGGCCCGACCAGTCACTCTCATAAGAAGCCATGAGGTCCTGGGGAGAAGTCCCCTCTCACCTTTACACCAAAGGAAGCGGCAAAAGGCAGGCCCAGCAGGGGTGGGAGGGGCCTGCCTGCTGGGTCTCTCCCATCCCATAATCACCCTTTTCCCTCTTGATGCAATAAAGCCCCATGACACCAGCAGCCCCTCCTTAGAACTGGATTCTCCAGCCATGAGGTTGAGTATTATGGGCAGTATGGTCATCTTCATTTATTGCTTCTGTTTTCCATCATTTTTTTTATTAATAAAAAGCTGTGTTTACCTGTATTTACTCCTAATACACAGTAAAATAAATTATTCAGTCCAAATCATTCACAGAAATGATGTTTTTCTTTTCTTTGAATTCAAATGCTGAGGAATCTCGTGTTTACAGGGTGCAGAGATCAACTGGAGATTAGTCTTCAAGGTGTTGTTGGGCTCCAGAGTATGTGGGGGGTTTCTAAGATGGCTGTGCACTTAAGGTGTGGGAGTGGGAAACGTTCCTCAACTTGGTGGGAATTCAGCAGTGATGGTGGCCAGAGAGTGGTGGGTGGCTGATGCGACCCTCTTCCCCCAGTACTCTGGCTTCCAGCCTAACAGCTAGGGAAGGGACCCTCTGTTCACCCAGGCTTCCTGGGAAAGCTGTCTTAGAGGGCAGGAAGAGCCCAGCAGGGTCCTGGGAAAGTGAAGGAGTAACCGGCCCTCCAGTTCATGGGGGAGGGCATGGGAACGGGTGGGTGACATGCTTGCTGCTGCTGGGAGATTCAGTATATCTTGGCTGAGTTCTTGGCTTCTGGAAAAACCTGGCTTTATGTGGCCCCAGGGAAGCCACTTGCAGGAGGCGGAGACTGTTGTTGAGAAACAGGGCAGAGCTTGCTTTCTTTGGGAATTTTTAACTATTTGAGCCACGTACTCGACAGCAATGTCACCCGAGCCTTTTTACTATCCACTTTGCATTCTGCATCAACCTCAACCTGTGTCCCTATCTGTGGAAAGCCAGTCACCAGTCCCTATCTGGGGGGGGGGGGTCACCGGAGGTAACTTATAGCAGGAGGGAGGGAATGGAGGTAGTTTAGTCACAGGGTTTATTGTGTAGTTCCAGGGTCTTCCTTTTTACCAAAACTCTTCCCATCCAACATTTTCTTTCCTTTAAAGCTCTTACAGCCTAAGATTTCAAAAAGACTGCCCTCCCCTTCAAATCCATGCGCCCACCGCACTGCTCACCCAACCACTACCAGCTCCCAAAGGTGCCACGCAGCTGGCTGGGAAAGAAGGGGAGAGGGCTCCTCCGGGAGCGGGGAAGCCAAGAGAGCGGCGTTTCTGAGGGATTTCACCTCCTACCCTCGGTTACATGACGCCACCCCTCCCTCCAAAGCCTGGATCTGCGCCTCCATTTTTGTTTTGGGGCAGAGAGGCAGGGGCTCCCGGGTAGCAGGAGGGGGCAAGGGAAGCGGTGATTATCACCCGCCCGGGGGAGAGGGGTGCTGTCCCCCTCCTTCCCCTCCATCCGCGCCCCGGCATCCCCGGCCACCTTCCCGGGGTCTTCCCCCGCCCCTTGTTGCTAAGGCCCGGACCGTCATCCCAGCAACAGCCTCAGTCATGTGACCGGCAATGGCGGCGCTGACGGGAGGTAGGTGAGCCCGGCGCCCCCACACCCACCGCGTGCCCCCCGGGCCCGATCGGCGCCCTCGCGAGCCCCCCGCGCCCCTCCGCCCCCTCCTCCGCCTCTGACCCCGGCGCGCGCTCGCCCGGCGGCTCCGGGAGCGGGCACCGTCGGGGCCGGGCCCAGCATCATCCTGCCGGCACCTCCAGCCCTCGGCCTCCATTTGGGTGTTCTGAGGGCCGCAGTCGGGCCGGGCGGACACACGCCCTCACCCGGCGGCGGGACTCCGGGGCTTCCTCGAGTAGGGATGCGGGAGTTGGTTTCGGGTTGGATGGGTCTGGGGGCCAGGGCTGGGGGGACGAGGAGGGTGGGGTGCCTCGGTGGACACCCCCCAGGGGACCCTCGCCCTTTCTCGCCGTCCCTGCTTGGGGCCACTGTCCGGAGGGAGACACTGGGCTCCTGTCCGGCCTGGTTTGCCCCAGAGGAATGCTAGACCAGACTAAACTGTGGCCCCGCCTCCCTGTGCTGTGCCAGCAGGGCTTGGAGCTAGGACACCTAGATCCTGGGTCCTCTTGTCCTGGGGTGGGGACGTGCCACGGTGCACCAGCCATGCGGGCTGGGACTCTAGAGTTTCATCTTAAGGGCCCTGGGATGGAGGCACGGAAGGACAGCGGCTCCTTCTTTGGATGAGTCAAGGAATTGAGGTCACATTAATGGCCCCCTCTTCCTAACTGAGCTGCACTTTGTGTTGTGGGAACAGCCCCGGGGCTGAATGTGACAGGACTCAGGGGACAAAACGTGGGGTCCCTCCAGCTGAGCTCCTGCTTGAGCCCCGCCCCTCCTAAATGCAGACCCGGGAGCTCACAGCAGCTCTGCGGGCCTGCTGGGCCCCCGTTGGGTTCAAAGGTGACTATGAGAACTTTGTTGTTGCAGGGACCCCTGCTATCACTTTGCTGGCATCCCTAGCAGACTTTGCTCTCAGGGAAAGGTCCCCGCCAACAACAGGGACTTATTTGAGAATGGGAAGTAAAGAAGTGAGATGAGCAGCTGAGCAGCATAGGAAGTATCTCTGTCAGTGTGATCTGAGGGAGGTGGCAAGTGCGACCTTCACCCCCAGGGCCTTTGCCTGGACCTAGGAGATCTCTCTCTCCCTCTCTCTCTGCACTGGGGGGTGGGGGTGGGGTGAAGAGTTAGCCTGATGAAGTTCCCAGAGCAACTCTGAGAGTCTGGGCATGGAATTCTGCAGGGGAGGAGAGCACATAGAAGTGTTTTGTTTCTGGGCTGGCTGAGGAAATGCTATCGCGCTATCATAACTCTTTACCCTCCTGGTCCCCAGCTCTGGTCAGCTCGATGTGGGAGTAGAGACTTGCACTGCCACCATCTCCCATGGTCTTTTCAGGTACCGCAACCCCAAGGGACCCTCCCGTGCCCAGGAGCCTTACTCCAGGTTCCTGTCTGTTTCCAGGGCGACTGAGTTGGGGCCTGTGGGGGTTGGGGAAATCTATCTCTTACTTTCTTTTCTTTCCCATCCCACTAGGCCACACAGTCTCCAAGTAGCAGGGTAAAGGAGTGAGCCTGCATGCCAATCCTAAGTTCTTCCGGGTCAAAGTGAGCAAAACTCGGGCTGGGGGGGAGGGCTGGGGGGGGAGGCTCCCTCCCCGTTTGAAGAGCCTATTTTGGTGCTTGGCTTAGATACAATATGGAAACTCTTGTTCCCCAGCAAATTCTGGGGCTATGGGAGACAAGGGGTGATAGAAAACCAGTTTGCAGGAGGTGTTGGGGTTGGCACTGAGGAACACAAGCGCTAATGTGGGGTTCGGAGGGAGCCTGGAGTAGAACTCTGCACGCTGAGGCCCCTTCGCTCTCGGGGCAGTGTCGTTCGTCCTGTCCAGAATGGCAGCCTGTGGGGGCACCTGCAAGAACAAAGTGACTGTCTCCAAGCCTGTGTGGGACTTCCTGAGCAAGGAGACCCCAGCCCGGCTGGCCCGGCTTCGGGAGGAGCACCGTGTGTCCATCCTCATAGACGGCGAGACTTCTGACATCTACGTGCTCCAGCTCTCCCCACAGGGTCCTCCCCCAGCCCCTCCCAATGGGCTCTACCTGGCCCGCAAGGCTCTGAAGGGGCTACTGAAAGAGGCGGAGAAGGAGCTGAAGAAAGCTCGGAGGCAGGAGGAGCTCATGGGCTGCCTGGCTCTGGGGGGTGGGGGGGAGCACCCTGAGCTGCACCGCCCAGGTCCACCTCCTCTTCGAGCAGCCCCACTCCTGCCCCCGGGGGCAAGAGGGCTCCCCCCTCCCCCTCCCCCCCTGCCCCCTCCACTTCCTCCTCGGCTGAGGGAGGAGGCTGAAGAACAGGAAAGCACCTGCCCCATCTGCCTGGGGGAGATCCAGAATGCCAAGACCCTGGAGAAGTGCCGGCACTCATTCTGCGAGGGCTGCATCACGCGGGCCCTGCAGGTGAAAAAAGCCTGCCCCATGTGTGGCCGATTCTACGGGCAGCTGGTGGGCAACCAGCCCCAGAACGGGCGGATGCTGGTCTCCAAGGATGCCACCCTCCTGCTACCCAGCTATGAGAAGTACGGCACCATCGTCATCCAGTATGTCTTCCCGCCCGGTGTCCAGGGGGTAAGAGGACCATCTAGTTCTCCCTGACCTTTGGTGTTCCCCAAGTTCACTCTCTGACCTAAGAAAAACAGCTTATGAGGGGAGTATGTTGTTAGACATGACATACTCTTGCTGCCTCCCAGCATGCTCTGGAGCTGGGGGGAGGGGGAGCTGTCTCCTTGAGGCCCAGCTCTTTTATCGCCATGACCCAAAGGTACATGTACAACTCAAGAATGAGGGCTTGAGTGTAGATCAGTGGAAGAGCACCTGTCTATAATATGGGGAGCCCTGAGTTCAATCCCTGCCCCCGAACAAACCAAATCAAACAAGGAAAAAAAAAACCTTAAAGCCAGGTCTGACGGGAAGGCTTGAACACTAACCCTGACAGACACAGAAAGTCAGGAGTTTGTGACCCAGGACAGAGGTACAGGCAGGCGCAACGGGAAGAGAGGGGCCTGGCCATTCTAACAGCTGGGCGCCACTCTGTTCCAGAGTATGAGACAATGAAAGCTTGACTAGAGCTGAAGGCAAATGTCTCTGCTGGACAGAGAGTCTTGCACAGCTGGTTCACAATGGGGCGAAGAAACTGAAGGGAAGAAACAGAAACATGGAAACAGGAGGTGGTGACAGATGCCTTAGTATTTTAGGTAGACGAGGGAATGCCGAAAGATAAGTTTCTCTTGTCACATTTTTGCTGCGTTATCTGGAGAGTAACTTCCATCGCCTCTGAGAGTGCATTTATTCCCGAGTTGAGACTTGAGGGATTAACAATAAGAATTATGTCCAGAAACAGGCTTCCTGCCCAGATCCCAAAGCCATCTTTCCCTGGAAGGCCGTTGGTCTGCTGGGAATGCACAGACAAAAAGGCCTGCCAGAGCCACCCTCCACTGGTTTGCAGGCCTCTGAGGCAGCCAGCCGCCCTCCACCCACCTGCCTGTTCTTCCTCTCAGGCTGAACACCCGAACCCGGGAGTTCGGTATCCTGGCACCACAAGGGTGGCCTACCTCCCGGACTGCCCCGAGGGCAACAAGGTGCTGACCCTGTTCCGAAAGGCATTTGACCAGCGTCTCACATTCACTATCGGCACGTCCATGACTACAGGGAGACCCAATGTCATCACTTGGAACG